ACAGATATATATATAAGGTTATAAAATAGTTTTTGAAAAAATCTGCAATAGCTTCAGAAATAGATGCATAATGATAGAAAATTTTTCTCGAATCCACCTTTTAATTCACAATATTAAACAGGTTAGTAATCATACATTTTCTAAAAATTTATTCTTCTAAGCTATTTAATTGAATTATGACTCTTGACAAACAGTTTCGTTTGAAGAAAAATACATAAAACAATGTCTATTTACCTTTCTAATTTGCTGCTGCACCTATAACTAGAGTTGTAGTTGTTACATTGATTGGCAGGAGCAACTGATAAGCCTATGGTTTTATGCTACTAGTTGTCACTCTGACGAACGCATAAAAATACGTAGAAGAATATACATAATTGACAACTAGTGTGAGCCTGTTGATAACATTTATATTTCATAGCCTTTTAAATGATAAATGAGGTAGTGATTCGCTATCTCAACATGTCATTTCTGATACATTCTAGTATAGTCATTAATCCTTACTTTAATTTATCAATCAACCAGGTATGTAGATTTGAAAAGTCAATTTTCTATACTCTATATATTTGATGTGGAAAACTTGTTTTTGTGCACTTGTGAATGAAGTAACTTTTTGATGCATTGTCTATGTTTTTTTTTTCATTGCATTGATAAGGTACTATGATTCAAATATATATTTCCTCATTTACTTTAAAGAATATTGACGATTTTGAATGTATGTCTATTAATTGGTATAGTGCGGTGGTTTTCATCTTTAGTATTCAGTAGACGTATTTACTGTTTATCTTCTTGTATAATAAATCAATTATCTTATTTTTCAATAATGCTTTCATTAACTCTATCATGATTTTTTTCTAATTCTTCATCAAAGGTCATTATGTATATTATCGGCTATTGCAACATTCATATATAACGACTTATTTGTTTTTTTTTCGCTGTTTTTCTTCGATTAATCTTGTTCTGCTTTGGATTATTTCTTTTAGTGATATGTAAGTAAATATCATTATACAGAGTGTCCCAAAAGTACTGATCATTTAACAAATATAGGTAACAATGTTACTGATTAAATTTAATCAAACATTCTTTTCTATTTGAAATAGGAGATTTGTTAGTTGTACGACGCTATGAAGAATATGCGCTATCACTTCTCGATATATACTAGTCTTTATACATGTATTATGGATTTTTAATGATTTGTTTGAAAACAAAACGAATTATTGGCGCATTTCTTCATAGAAAATCATTCATCAGGCTTTGAAAATTTTCTTAATCTTGAAAAGAATTTGTTCGATAATATCATAACTCATTTTAACATTGCAACTTACTAATTTACTTCCTTTTCGTAAGAATATATCAAAACTAATATTTCTAAAATCCCAGTAAAAGTTTAAATGGATCTGAAGTTCATGACATCCGTGCAAATTCCAGTTGATACTAAGAAAAAACTGTGCATATTCTTCGTAACATTGTGAAAGGTCTAATTTTTTAATTGTAGTCAAATATGTTATCTTTTCAACATTGTTGATAAACTTAATCTTTAAGAATAAACAGTTACAACTCTTCTATTGAAAACAGAAAAAAAGTTTTTGATTAAGTTTGATGATTAGCAATGTTATATGTTTTGTTTAATGACCATGACTTTTGAGAAATTTTGTGTTTCCAAAAAAAAGGTTTAGAAACGATGCCTCATGAGTTTAATCAATCATTCATTTTTTGTCGGTTGTGATTGTCATAACATTCATCGTTGGAATGACTATTATAGCTCCTTAACGAAGCATGATCTTTTTAAAAATTAAAACAATTATACCTTGCAGAGATGAAACTGCTCATTTATTTTTAAACCAAAATTTTCTCTTGATACGTATTACCATAAGTCAAGATATTAATAGATAATAACAAGAATATAGGGGTAAAAATTGACTTCTTCTCATAGACTGTATATCAAAAGAGTCTCATTATAATGTATGAACTAATTCCTTGTTGCATTTTAATAGGATTAAGTAAAAAGGATTTTGAAGAAGTATATTCCAAAACAGATAGAAAAAAACTAATTTTTTTTGTAATTAGCAATTACAACCACATCGTATTTTGCATTATCATTTAACATGAATTACACTAGTAGTTTTTTATTTATTTGATAAGAAAATACTTTCATGGATATTGTTATTTGTTCATTTGGTACGATATAATTCATGACAAATTTTCAATTGTTAATTATCTATGATTAATCATCTGTCGAATTAAAAAGAACGAATATTCTTTAAGATTCTAATTGAATTTATCAAATTCCGGGGATACTCTCCGAAGACATGCAATCGTATATTAAGAGAATAAAAACAAGATTATCAGAATTTAGTAAGAAAAGAATTTGTCTATATAATGCCATATTGTCAAAGAGATTTTCAAAGTTCAATGAAAACTCACTATGAAACAAAAAGTGCATTTCTATCCAAATAATTTCCGATAAATCAAAGACATCAAGCTTTATTAAAACTAGCAAATGAACATAGTACCAGAATCCTAATTGAAATAACAGTCAGGAGTATTGATAATTTTCAAATTCTTTTTCGACGTTCATTATTTAGTTGATGGTACACCTCTTTTTTTTTTAATCATTTTTGTAAGAAAATGAACTAAGTAATTGCATTTGCACAAAAACATTCTTTGTTAAGGAAATCTCTTTTTTGTTTCCAAAATTTTCTCTTTCTCAATGATTAAACAGATACCTAAACTTCTGGATATTATACTTATAATGTACAAAATCAATTGTTCAACTTGATTTTAATTTTAATTTTAATTTATCAACAATCTTTTTCTAAAGTCCTTTTTTAGCTGCAAAAAGTTTATCCACACACTGAGAGAAGTTAGTTGATCGGTGAACTTATGATTTTATTCTTAAGATTAAATAGCAGATGATTATTTCAGTTGAGAATCAATCTTCAAATGAGTTATCAAACGTTTTCATTATAGTTTCTCTTGAATAAATTTCACTTTTTCAGATAGTTCAACAAAAAACAATAGATTTTGACGACCTAAAGATGTTGTACTAGCCTCTTGTCACATAATTACGACCATCGCATATGTTCTTCTCACACTACTTTGAATTGAAGTCTCTTCAGATAAAATTAGATGAGAAATTCATATCTCTTGATCAGCTTCAAAGCATAGCATGTCTATATCAGCTATGACATATATCACTAAAAAATCTCGAATTGGGACTTTTTTTCTGATGAGCTACTGAAAAGCAGCAACAGCTATTTAAAGCATCAACTAGTTGTCAATCATTAATTTAGCCATCAATAAAACAAGAGATCGAAATGCGGTATTTAGTCTTCAAGAGAAAACACACTGAAAAAATTTTCATTAAGTTTCAATATCCTAATGTATAAAAATTCTGTTAAAGAGTTTTTGATAGGTCAAATAGTATATCGAGTGTTCATATCAATTTTTAAGGTTCTACTGAGCATCCTTTACGAATAAATTTTCTCCACTGTACTTCTAAATTTGTAACGCTTCCAGGGCTCTGATGATGAATACGCTAGGGTTACAAATGAATCCTGTCATGACTAAATATTATTATATGAAGTGCTGTTGTGATCGATCTTAACGGGTAGATCAAGATGTAGGTTAAGAAATGAGAATAGATGTATGGCTGAGAATATGAGAGTGGAAAGAGGACGCTCATTTTCACCTCACTCATACTCATATCCAACTTATGTATTATGTCCGATGCCTCATTTAGAAAAGAGAAATATTACTATTTGTCATCGTCAAACTAGCTGCAATAATCACGAATTAGTAGTATACGATTGATAAAAGCAGTATCAGATTCACTGAAATACACTCGATGAAATTAGATTTATAGTATATGTAATTTATGATTACTTCAACCTATTTTTCTATCATCATAATGATCCTAGATGAACTCTATCAATGTTCAAGCTCTTAGATATTATATTTTTCTTCGAAATCTTTTTTTTTTCTTTTATAATAAATAAGCATCTTTTATAGAATTATATACAGTAGTCGCAATGTTAAAAATTAAATATATTTTTAATTTTGAAACTATTAGGAATTTATGATCTCGTTTTCAATTTAATTAAGTTGTCAGTTTTATTATTTTACATATGCAGATGCCATATTGAATTTCGATAGCCAGATGGATTCATCTCAATCAAGATGGCTAAACGTTTTTCAGAAGAAGTCTTTCATGCTCTCCTAATTTTTTTACTAAGAGATAATCAAAAAAGTGCATTTAATAGACTTATGACAGTTCCATATTAATTGCGATTATGAGAATTCTGTAACAGTTCTTTTGATAGAAGCTGAGCCATTCTTAAAAAAGATGTCATCTATCGAAAGAGTACTGTTGAAATTAGAAATGTGCGGAAGCAAGAGTTTTTAGTTATATACCCAATAATATTTTTTTCAATAATCTCAATCATAGTCCTAACTTAGAGAAAACTATTTCAATGTTTATTTGCATATGTGAATTCTGTTCTGATTGATGTAAGTTACAGTATATTTCATTAAAACTCAAAGAAGATTCAAATACAATTGTTAATTTCGCTTCAAACAACTATTTTTTCTTTTAATTACAGTTTCGTACATTTTTGGCTAAGACAAATCACATTTTTAAATTAAAGAACTGTCGTACGTCTAGTATTGAATCAAAGAAATTATTTATCTTTGAAATTTCATTCATTGGAACAAATACTTTTGATAGTCTTATTTTTTTTTTATTCTAACTGATATATTTCTGAATGTCTCTAGAAGACATTTTTGGCATTATTTTTAAATCATACTAATCCATAAATTAATTTTATATTTGAACCCAATTAATGTTATACAAGAATATTTTTGTACTCTATTTTTCTATTGCGAGTCTATCAAATGAAAAGTTGACCAAAAAGCAATCAACAGACAAACAAAAAGCATATTTTACAAATGAAACACAAATAACCGGTTTATCAGCGCTAAATTCTCTTAATATCAAGTTTTTTTTATGTAGTAAAAAAAAAATATAGTTCAGTAATAATTACAGTTAACATAACAAATGAATATCGTTGAGTTAATTGATTAGCATTAGAACATTTTGAAAATAATGGTTTTTTTTCTCCTTCATGGACAAAAAAACATTTATGTGGTCGTTCACGATATGGTGTAGTTTTTAAACGTGTACACCATTCATCAGTCGTAAATTCAACTGGTTTACGTTTTATTATTAATGGTTCACATATTAAAGATGCTTCTTTGGAATGATTTGCATATAGCAACATTAAATTGCTCTTTGGAATTTTTGATATCGAATAACTGAAATAATAAAAATAATAGAAATATCAGTGATGCCAAAATTTCAGATTAGGAAGATTGAGTCTCACTAAGTCAATGATTTCAACACTCTGCCTCGTGAATTTTCGGCATATTACCATCGGAAAACTTTAGACCTCCTGTGGAACTACCCCATTGACAATAATTGAGATTTTTATTCGTACCTGTATGATTCAGGAACATATACGGGTGGTACTATTGTTGAACTATTCGTACCATTAGTTTCATTTTCATATAAGTCTTCAAAATTTTTTGTATATTCTTTAATCGAAGGAGTACAAGTAACTGTACCATATATTGTATTTTCACGTTCGACTTGTTCCCATGTTATTTTATTATCTTTTGATGGTAATGGTCCTCGCCATCCTTGCCATGTTGATACATATAAATTAAATTCTTCAATACATGGTTCAGGAACTTTTTCAATAGTTTCTTCATCTTTTGTTGAATTCAATATTTTATGATGTAATATTGGATGACGAAAATCAATATGTGTTAAGAGAATATTACTAAGACTTTCTCGTATATGAGTTTTTTGTATAGGTTTATCGTTAATTAAAGTTTGATTGATGGTATTAGGTTTTTTTGTTGCATAAGACCATTGAGGAAAAAATATTATGTCACGAATAAGTATCCTAAAAGATTAAATTTACATAACTAAAATAAAATAGATAAATATATAATGATTTAGCATACATTGCTAAATGATTGATAATATTCCAAAACATAATTGAAATTGTTTGAAGAATCTATAAAAGAAAAAAAAAATTAGAATTGAATTAAAACCAGAAGATTTTCATGTACATACACCACGAAAATGATGACCAGAACTTTTTTCTGATCGCATTTGACGTTGTAAGCAAACACCTTGAAAATCGACCATTTTTACTCTAGAAAAAAAAAACGAATGCTTTGATCGATTTAGATAAATTATTGTTTCCTTCGAACATTTCTTATCCTCGTCTGTATCTCGTCTACTATATATATATGTAGGAAATCTGAAAATTTGTATATAAATACTACATTGAAAATGTAGATTAGAAGTACCAGTTTATCGTGCTTGTTTAAATAAAATGAGAATTCTAATAAAGAGCATTTATTCTTGCTTCAAGCTTTTAGGACTAAAAAGAAAGCTTGTCTATTAAACTTTGCAGTATTTATATATCAAATATGTCACTGATTGTTGATATTTAAACACACAACTGGAGTTCAGTCTATACTTTTATTTTAGTTCAGAGATCAAGTAATTGAATAGAAGATGAGTGTCTTTGCATCCAATTTGTTTTTGGATCCAATTTCGAACTATGTTCATGATTCTAACGTAGAAAATGTGAAACCTATACATTTTTCAGACCATATTGACGGTAGTCATACAATATTTAAGCTATAATTGACTGTTGCTTTCAGATTACGACTAGTTCGAAATAGTTCAAAGTCCTTGGTAAATCCGACGAGCTCTAGTCCTCGGTACCAGTATGATAGTTATTCAAATGCCATTAGTATTCAGTAGAAGAGAAAGAGTTTGTACAAGCTTTAGGTTGATTCACTGAACCATAAACAATTTATGAACTTCAAAGTTCAGTGAATAATTTTTCTTCATTTGATTTGTTACCATTTTAGAAATAGTTGATGACATTTGAACATAATTAATATGTTAAATAGCTGAAACAAATCACGAAATATTGACGCATCGATTGATCAACAAAAAAGTTCTTTCTTTTTAGATTTATGAATTGAAATAGATTTATGGATGTAGTAGATTATAATTTTTGTTGTAATTAATATTGCTAGAATATGGATATACAAATTTTCAGAGTATTAGGATATATGCCGGTCGAAATATATGAAGTGACAGATTTTTGTTGACTATTTTAGTTTAGAATATTTGATTTTTTTATAAAAACACTCAATTCTGCAATAAACATAAATTATATATTAACTTACTCTGAAAAAATTTTTTTCGCTATAAGATCTTGCATAATTGCTCCTTCAAATTCACCTAAAAATTTACCAATATCATCCTAAAATTTATCAATAAAAATTAATATATAGAAATCTTCGTTTTGTATTTTTTAAACATACTGCTCGATCGTTTCCTTCTTGTTGATTTATAAACATAATATATCCATTTTCATCAATAATATAACATATACCCGTCTCCAGTTGAGCCTTAAAATATTTTCAAAAAAAAAAACAACACATTTTTTTCTTTTTTGTAAAATCAAATATATTTATTTGAATACATACACAAAGATTTGAAAATTGTTTTGAACGAACTGTTTTATATGGTAACATAATTCCAAAAACTCCAAATGGAACATTTTGTGCAACTTTCGATCGATTTGATGTTTTATTCATCCATATAGCTGTTGTTATAACTAAATATCTATGTGATGATGTCGTTGGTGTTGATGATTCCATATAACTTTCTATAAAAGGAAAAACCAAGTATTCATTTAAATAATAAAGAAAAAAGAAACATAAGATGCCGAGAGAAGTTCTTTAATTGGTTAAACATATTTGAATCGAGACTATAAGTTAGAGATGTTTCAAAAATACTAACTCAGTAGTAGTTGATTTTCAGCTGTAATGGATATCTATACTACCCCAGTATCAAGTAGATAAGAATAAGCTATGAATACTCGGGAAAGAGTTTGAATCCTTCACAGTTGGCCATATCTATCGAACATGTGAGCATAACTTATTTTCTGTCAAAAAACAGATTTTTCTTTTTAAAATATTAGCTCTTATATTCAAAAATAATATTCATGCAAAAAGAGATTATCTGAGATGGAAAAATCCCTGAAGGATCCTTACTTTAAACTTCTGCTAAAAAATTTTTTCTTGTAAAAATTAACAGATAATACATTATTCGATGCAAGCTTTCATGCTGACTCTAAATATGTTCTTAATTTTCTCTTAAAGTACTTCTGTGACAAAGAAACCTTGAAAATCAAGGTGTTATGAAAACATGTATCGCAATCCAGAAGTATTTGCACTAACTAATTCTCTGAAAGTTTTGTTGATATTGAATTAGTGAAAACTTGATTAAAGACGCTTTGTTGAAAAACAAATAATTATTTTTTAAGAACGAAAATTTTTCTTTACAAACTGATAGAGTCCAGCTTCACACTGTCTATAGTTTTTGTGAAACACGATCTGAAAGGAGTGTTGAAGTGTTTAGGGGTAGAAATTTGGACCCCCCTCCCCCCACAGACCGTGACAGACATCTTAATTAATTAATTAATTAGTATTTAATTAGCTAATTAACCGTCACAGACAGTGACAGACAGGGTTTGGACCCATCACAGACCGTGACAGACAGGCTTTGGACCCATCACAGACTGTGACAGAGAAACTGTACTTCTAAAGCATCAGATACACGGTTAGCTATAAATGTATTGCAAAGAAATGGAACAAAACGATTTTCATTTAATTAGTAACAACAGATCCATCGTGTTTCACATTTTTAATCCCGCAAGGGATTGCACTATTTCTAATTTTTTTTATTTTTCACAGAAAAATGATGTTTTCTCTAAGAATGCTGAAATATGACCTTTTTTTCATTGCGACTAAGTTTTTTTTTAAATGAATTTAGCAGTTGAGACAATACTGTTTCTTTTTTTATTATTAGTCATTACTCAAAGTGTTAAAGTTATTATAATTCATATCTCGAAAAAGTTCACTTTCATTTCTTCATCTGATGTCTATGTTCCTACTCACTATGTTAATAGCGTATATTACTGCTGAGATATTGCAGCAGTACAATATTTTTTAAATCAATATTGTCAAAATTAGAAAAACACATATTTGAATTTCGACTTGCAATTTTACATAGATATAGAATTTGACGAGAATAGTCGATTTGAAAAAAAAAACACTGTATTATTACAATATCTCAGCGATAATAAGTTAAGAGTCCAAATTCTTTCGAAAGTATTCATTTACTTATTGAGATCTGTATGATGTACATAGTCTCGATTCAAAAAGGCTTTATCAATTGGGAAAGCTTCTCTCTTGTAAATACAACGAATAAATAAGTATACCTGTTGTATTTGTATGATTTTCAAAAATCATTTCTATAGAAAAAAAAAAAAATTTTTGTCAAAAAAAGAAAAGAAAAATCACTCAAAATTCTAATACATACGTGAATTTGTTGCTAGTATATTTGATATTCCATAAAAAAGTGAATAAACATGATAATTACCATGTATATGATCAGCACCATAAGTATAAGTGGCATTTATTGTTCGTTCATAATAACTTGATTCAATTGAATTTGGATTTGTATCCGCAAATTGTCTAAGAAAAATAATATGTCAATTGAAAATTTTTATTTAAAATTTCTATTTATTTTACCGTATATGTTCTTCATTAGCTAAATCATATAATCTCCAATAAGCTGTTATACCTGAACGTGTTCCTAAAAATATCCAATGTAAATGATTTTCACGTTGATATTCTTTAAAATCAAAATAAGCTGATTGATCTAATGGTCTTTGATGTTCATGATCCGCTATACCAGTTTTTGTCCAATTTTCAAATTTACTCATTATATATAATTCTTCAATCATCATATATATTAATTGTCGACTAGCTTTATAGGGACCTAGAAAAAAAAACACTAACAAAAACTAAAATAAATGATATCTATATATATATACATGAACCAATATGTTTAGTTTCAATTTTTTCTTTTAAATAACCACGAAATGATTCTTCTGTATCGCCAATATCATCCTCAGCTGTTGAATTACAATAAATCCAATCAGCAATACGAACATTTCGTTGAAGAATAAAACGAAGAGCTAAAAAAAAAAGAAAAAAATATGAAACTTACAATTATTTTGACGAGTTTAATCTATACTAATTGTTAAGATCAAGAGAATTTTTCATTATTATGATAGAATAGTATGTTTTAAAAGTACGGCTATAATCTAACCTAGAACTCTGTTAATTCAATGGATTTTTTTGAAAAAATTTGAGACTTTAGCCAAAATGTGGACGTAATATCATTAATGTGTGCGACGGAAAATATAATTGTTTAACTCTAATATACTAGTCGTCAAAGGTCCTATTACAAAGTAAAAAACAAACTATCTAAATGTGAATCCTTCGATCTCATAGTTGGACTCTTAAGCTGAGAAACATATTAGATAAATGATATTGATTTATGAAACATGTTCACATGAAATACACGAATGAATAACTTTTTATGATGGTGAGGATGACAGTTTTGGATTTTTAACTTATTTTCTTCCTTTTTAAAAGCTATCATAACAGAATGAACAATCGCATCTATCAAAATTATATCAACGTATGATCTTACATCAAATTCTTGCAAAATTAAGAAGAAAAGATATTCAAACAATAGCTATAAAATACTGTATAAGCGATAAGATAGTATTCTCATCAATACATTGGATCTTTCTAATTGTTTACCGTATGTAGTTACGAAAAAAAAACATTTACCCATATATTATTAATTTATATATTTATTTATCTATGTTATTTCACTATTCTTTGTTTTATTGTTTCCTTTATTACACTCATAGATTTTCTTCCGATACTTTCTTTTATTTTTCCAGCAAATTCAGATATACTGTTCTTCTTCTTGCGAATATAAATTGATATGAAGGAAAATATATTTTGTACCAGAGATGAGCAAAGTCGCACCGCGCCTCCCCGCGTCGTTGCTCACGCCTACGCTACACTAGTCTGAGCTTTGATGAGCGCATGCTTAGAGCATCCCGGTATTCGGTGGAGTTTGAGAAACTGATTGGTAGAGCAAAGAGAAAGAGAGATGTGCGTAGCGCCTAGGCGCGAGCAGTGGCGCGGGGAGGCGGGGTGCGATTTTGCTCATCTCTGTTTTGTACTTTATGATTAAAAGATTAAGTGCGTAAATTGATTACAAATGTCTTGAGAATCATGTCTTGAAATACCTCTAATATTGTTTATATGTCGATTTATATTTTATTCAATACAACACTACTATGAAATCTTTTGTAAGAAAGTTTCATAAAAAAAAAAATTCTTTTTTTTTTCTATACTAACCTGTTTTAACTTTTTCTGTATCAGGTTCAATTGTTCGAACATGAAATTCACCATAAGGAAAACGTACAGCAATACCCAAACTAAAAATATATTTATTTATGAAAAAAAATTTTCTATTTTAAATTATTTATATACCTAAATGGATTTGATTCTTTATCTCCTAATGTTGCATAGTAATATTTTTGTTCAACTTCTTCTATTCGTCTCTAAAAAGAAAGAAATTATTGAATTTATTATAATTTTTTTGCTCTTTAAAATCTTTCATTTATTTTACCATATCATCTAAATGTTTTTTAACTCTTGCTGAACGTTTATTTGCAATTGATAAAACCATATCTTTTCGTATCTATAAAAATCAAAAAAAAATATTAAATCATTATTATAAATTCAATTTTAATAAATAGATCTTACTTTTTGAATTTTACTTGCTGGTAAAGGCTATTAAAACAAATCTAACTATTTAATTAATAAATTACTACAAAGAAAAAAAGACTTACATGTACAAATTTCATAAGAGTATCTGGAATTTCTACCATATCTAAATCAATTGAATGATAATTTTGTTTACGATATGGACCCAACTAAGAAAAAATAATTATATATATATATAAAGTAAATCAAAAATAGAATCATTAATGTTTAATATATTCTAATTCTATAATATGATTTTAAAAAAATACAAGTAATAACATACCACAGGTCGTAAATCAGGATGAAACATGAGATAACCATTATGATTAATCATAAATGCATAAGCATGAACACCAAGCTAAGTAGAAATGAATTATTTTTCAAAACAAAAAACGATTACATACTCGATATTTAGGTGAAAATTCTTGTAAAAGTTTAACTGGAATATCAACACCAACAGCTCCTAATAGAATTGTCTCATCACGTGCCTATTAATATTAAAAATATAATTTATTTATTTCGTTTTTTTATTATGAATTTTAAAATTGAAGGCATATGACAGTAATTTAAATAACTCGTGAATATGAACAGATATTGAAAAATAATTTATCTTTCAAATTCAAGATTTCTTGATGTTGACTAGTTGCTTGTAGATTACGCATAGAATAGGTCTACAGAGAGGTAATTAATTTAGTTCAGTTGCATAGAAATTTTTTTGTTTTTTCTTTCAAAATAATCTACAATTATTGTATTCAAATTTTTCTAAATATCGACTTTTGACGGTGTATATAGTAGGAAAATTTGAAACTCTTAATATTTGGAAATAATAGTTGTATATATAGTTTTGAAATTGAAAACGAACATCATTACTTCTCTCTAAATCTATGATGTGTATAACTCCTGGATCAACCAGCTCTGAAATCAAAGCGCTTCTGGAAAACTCTTATAATTCTTGAGTTTGCACAGTTCACAAAAGAACAATTTTCTCTATCAAATATACGTTTTATAATTTATCAAATAATGTTGACTGTGACAATCATGATGTTTTCCTCAAGATCCACTTGAAAGCTTTCTACTATAGTTTGATGCACTCTTAACTTTGCTACAAACAGATGAAAGACATTTAGCCATATTTGTTGGCGTTCGCAAGTTTTCAAATTGTCGACTGACTTTGTACCGTCACTTTTTGGGAATATATGAATTCAACAAGACCATTTATATAGAATTTCCAATAACTATATAGGAAATCTATTTCTCCTGCATGCCATTCGATAAGCTAAATAAAAAATACTGAAAAATAGCCGAAAACAAAGATGCAACCAATATATTATTTTTGCTGAAGCTAAAAAAAAGCATAATTTTAGTTCGATTTATTTCCCAACTGTTCTATACATATGCGTTCACATTATTATAAATAAAATCAAACTGAATAAAGGTTTTTAAAAAACCATGTATTCTTTCTTTTTTACGGTATAAATTATGTTTTTCTGGTTACTATTATAGTATTTGACATCTGTCAAATCAGATAATCAAAATGTACATAAGTATAGAAAGCTGTTAAGCACAATCTCCATGGAATTATAAGATGATATACAACACAGCTACTGTCATGGTACTGAGGGAATTCATCAAAATTTATCTCGACTTATAGATTACTGCCTATACTTTTAAGACGTGTTAATAATGCAAAATATAAACCTAATATATTACAGTAATTATGAGAGAAGAATAACGTATAACTATCTTAAATTCAATCGTGTTTGATGTTAATTCTACTCGAGACTTCCGTTTTGACTGTTTCATGACGATGAAACAACCATACTAAAATATTTATCATAATCCATGTTGTATGAAAGATGTTGCTTAGTTGTATCTTCAAACTCCATAATAAGTGTCTTTTATAAGCTGTGATGCGTCGTTTCTAAGATATTAGTCACGTTGGTAGGAAAAAAAGGACTGAGTAGAGACAGCCAGGCGATAGAACTTCTTTTTCTTGATTCTAAGCATGACATGCAATACATTAAATGTGCTACAAAACGGATATTTGCTTTCCATTAAAAGCAATTCGTATGCCAACACGAAGCATAATTTTGTCATGAAACTTTTGTTCTCTGGAGAAGGATAAGATTTAATTTTTTTTCCCTATGCTTCAGATCGTATTTCACAAAGAAAAAGATCACGCATCGCCTGCTAAGATCTTAGAGAAATAAGAAAAAATCAATTGAAATCACATATGAACGAGCGATAGTTATATATGTAGAGTCGTCTATATCTATGCATTGTGTTATAGATGCTAGTGTGATGATATTAAGACTAAGACATAAAATACTTTTTCTTTAGAAAATATAACATTTTTTATTAAAACCTTCGTTTTTTTTCCTCAATCATATAGAACAATTACGAAGCCAGATTATCGGTACATATCTTCTATTTTGAAATATGTTTTACTTACATGATACGGTGGATTAAGAACAGGTTGTGCAATGGAAATCATCAAATTAACAGGCTTAAAAAAAAAGAACAGAAAAAAAAATATCATTTAATCGTATTATTTTCTTTTTTGTGTTTTATAAAAGTATGGAAGTTTATTTTTTTTTGTTTTTACTTTAGATTTATTTTTAAATTCATCCATTGATATTGATAAATCGGTAAATTTAAATGGAAACCATTTATATGTTTTTATTGGTAATGTTCTTTCAACATCAAGAAAAACACTACTCCATACAGTTACATGATCATTATACATAGCTATTGGACGTGCTGTTACTGGAATATAATCTTCAACATTTTCTTGAATATCTTCTAAAGTTGATACATGAGCAAAATAACCTAAAAAAACAAATTAAGATAAAATATTAGGAAAAAAAAAACCAACAATAATTTATCATTCTAATTTATGTTACCTTTATTAGCACAAGACATCCATCGAATATGTTTCGGATCTCCTAATTCTCTTCCAATCATATATGTAAATACTCGTGTCTAGAAGAAAAACAACAAAAAGAAATATAAATTAAAAGTTAAATCAATGTTCGGTTTCTTTTACTTCAATTGGATGACATGTGGAAATGTTATTTGGATACCAATTTCGACTTTGAAAAACATTTAAAGCTGTTTCTGTAGCACCATCAGTAACAATCATTATCATTTTATTGCATCCTGTACTATCCAAAAATGGTTGTTCATCTCCATCATAAATATTGGCTATAACGGAAAAATAAATAGAAAATGAGAAAATATTTAGTTTTCTTTATTGAACCATTAAAATCTGATGGACAAAAAGCTTCACGTTGTGCTTCAGTTTGATTGTCTGTTGATAAATAATGACATTGACATAATAATCTAGCATTTTCTGTTCGAGATATATTTCTGCGTGCACTATCTAATATATCAAATGCCATGATAAGTGCTTTAGAAAAATTTGCTATATCTTTTGTGACAATAGGATTATTAAGTGATGCACGAAATTTCTAAAATAAAATAGAAATTTTTCTTTTGTAATATTAAAGTATGTTGATAATAAAACAAAAAGAAGTTTCTTTGAATAGAACAACAATCATAAAGCTTTCAGATTGATCAATCGATTAGATAATGTCGGAAACTTATTTGTTTTCTATTCCTTTGAAATATTAGAACGATATTCTTATTGACCTTAATCTTGAATATAATCAGTTTAGTTTCTGAGCAATTTTGCAACAAAATATTCAAAATTTGAAACTTGTAATCCAATTTCAAGTAGAATTGTTTTTCTGTGAATTCGATTGTACGTTAGAGAGAACGGTGTATCTTATGACAATTATATGCTAAAGTCTAATCAATAATATTTGAGCATTCTAAAAAAATCTTTATTTTCTATACGAATGATTTCTTACATGACGATTCTCAAATGTTGCTTGAACAAGTCCGCCTTGAAAACAATCATCAATAAATTCTGCATCTTCTTGAAACTAAAATAGAAACAAAACAAAAAAAAAATAATTTATTTGCTAAACAAAAACAAAGTTTAGAGTTATTTACTTTAATTATTTGCACAAAATCATCATCGGATAGAGTATCAAGTATTGTTTCAACTGTTTGTATAGCAATTGATTTTTTTAGTCCAGTCATTGAACCACTTGCATCAATTAAAATAATTACATCACGTGGTGATGATGTTGCTCGAATATACCAATTTTGTACTCGACAATCAAATAAATCTAATCTATCTGTATCGTCTTCAGGGTATTCCCATATATGCCCTGGCCATACTCGATAAAGACCTGTTTGACTACAGAAATATTGCCATGTTAATTCCGGATCATGATTATAATTATCAATGAATGCTTGATTGAGATTATAAGACCAATTTGCTGTTAATAGAATTTCTCGATCTAAAAATAAAATAAAGAAAATAAATGTAACCTTTGAATTGATAAATATATTTTTCTTACTCAAAGAATAAATAATTGTTGGAACATGTACTGTACTATGTGTTATATTGACAAAAGCGCCGCCGAAATGTTTCTTTTGTTGAATAAATAATTCTTTTTCTAATGCTCTAAAGAAAAAAAACAAAACAAAGAAAGCATTCCTTAATAGAATTATTTTACAAAAGAAAAAAATTAAATTTACTTGTATTCACTTTCCAAATCACTTGTTGGTTGAATCAAATCATTAGATATGTCTTCATTCATATTCGTACTTGTTGAATATGAAGCTCCTGTTGATAGTTCATCTAATGTTATCATTGGTAATGAACTACTTTCTAATGTTGTAGATGATGTTGTTGTTGTTGATGTTGTTGTTGTTGTGATTGATGATGAATTTTCATTTGTACTATTTATTGTAACATTAATCACATGTTTGGAACTGAAATATCCATATTTCTAAAAACAAAGCAAAATAAAATTTTGATTATGATGAGAAAACAAAAAAGAAGTTGATATAAACTAACAGCCATAAATTTAGCAGTAGCATTTCGAATTGTTTCATCGGTTTCAGCAAATCTTCTATACGATTGTTCACTTATATTAACTAAATTTCTAATAGCTTCTAATTTTTTCATAATAGCACGATTTGTATAATTTGCCATTTCATGAACAAGTTCAGTTAAATTACGTTTTTCAATAATAAATGTATTTAGTGATTGCATATAAATTTCACGCATAATTCGATCTGTACTAGGTAATGTTAACGAAGAAAATTGTTCGGTCAAGTGAATTAATTGATCATGCAAATATTGTTTTGTTTTTATTGACAATGGAATTACTCTATAAGGAATAAAAATATGATATTAGTCTTTTTCTTTGTTTCCGAAGAAATTTAATCATTACATACGTCGATGATAAAGTAGATGTAGTTGTAAAGGACACATTGGGAATATCTCGAAAATTATTTGCTTGACTGTGTCCATGTTTAATTTGGATTACCAATAGTAAAATATAGATTTGAATCAATGTCATTGATTGATATATGTTGCTCGTTGTATCAACTCACATATTATTATTCAATGAAGAAACTTGCGCATGATTATGATTGTCTTTTTTTTTTCTCTGTCTTTTTCTTTCTTCTAGAGAAGTATCTATAGAATCTGTTAGAAGAAAAAACTCGGTCATTTTTTTTGCTTCTTCCTCATATTGACGTGCACAAATTGAATGCATGCTGTTATATTCCACCGCTTTTTCGCTTGCTCGTCACTTTTTTCTCTCAGTCGCTATTTCCGTCTCGACATAGAAAGTTCTTTGTCTCTTTCTTTTTTTTCTTTCTCTTGATTTTTTTTTTTCATTTCATCAATCACGCCTGTTCTATCATTATTATGCTACAAAATAAACGATAGAAAAAAGAACGGAAAAAATTTATTGCTTTTCTTATTTTTAATACCATATGAATTTTCCGATCAATCTTTTATATTAGCACAATAAAATATATTATCTATCAAACAAAAATAAATTAAGCAAATGTTATTCTTGTTGTTTTTTGTTTGTTTGTTTGTTTGTTCTTTTAATTTTTGCAACATGTTTCATCAGTTTTTTTAATTGGTTTTGGAATATCACTTGCTGGATTTATATCGAAAAATCCATTAGGTTTAAGAGTAAAACCACATAGAACAACCGGCATAACAGGAAAATCTTCTTGTCTTGGTATATGTGTTACACCAAATGTATACCAAAGAACAATATCTTTATCAACAATTGATCGATCTTTTTCAGTATATTTTAATAAACCACCATCACCTTGACTTTGATTTGGATAATTACCTCCACCAAACCTTTCTTTTTCATCGTATGGTGTGACCCATACATGATAATCAACAAAACTAGCACGTTTACGCCACCAAGCTTTTTTTGAACACAATGGTACACAATTATCACCTGGATATAATTTATATGCTGTTGGTTGATCAATAG